AAAAAAAAAAAAAAAAAAAAAAAAAAGAAAAATCCAATTTTATGCAAGCTTATCAATTACTTGTCTCAGAATATAGGTCAAATGGAAAAGAAAAACATTATAGATATGTGGAGAATATATATCTCACTGGCTACAAGAAGCCAACATAGGATCATAACCAATGCATTTATGAATATTCTTTCTGGTTGGGCTTCTCTTCCAGGCCATAAGACAGGTTTATTTGTAGGTATTAGCTGTGTGGGGTGGGGAGGTAATGTGGGACAGAGGAGAGGAAAAGGCTAAAATAACAAAGTACAACTGAAAAGATCAAAAGCCAGCATCTTAACACAGTATCAACTCTGGTTTTTAACATTCCTTAGTTCATTCGAATCTAGACTCTCAGTCCTTGTTAGGTATGGTCCCAGGAGCTAGTAAAACTCTAGCATCAGCTCTTTGATTTGTAACTAATAAATAGCTCATCAGGTGCTATGAAGCTGAAATGGAGTAACACATATTTATATGGCTAGCTGTCTAATTAGTTTCCCACATGATTGTGACTTAGAAATGACAGAGGCTATGAATAATACTTTCTGTGCCACCTCTGGCAAAATGGTTAGTATGCAGTAGACATGCAGTAAGTGTTGACTGTCATTAAGCCATTTCAGTATGACTAGTTTAATTGCAACAGAACCATGGCCACAGAAAGCACAGCATTATAAGTATGATGGAAGTTTAACAATTACTAACTAGGTCTGAAGATGTTGCTCAGTAATAGAGGGTTGAATTTCCAATACCTCAAAAAAGAAAAATTAGTGTGTCCTTATTTCTTTATGAAACATTTATTTTAATAACTTGTAATTTGAAGGACCACAGGAGCTGGAAAGATGGCTAAGTAAGAAGATCACTTACTGTGTAAGCATTAAGACCTGAGTTCAAATCCCTAGAACCCGAAGAGAAAGCTGGGAGTAAGTGCACTGCTGCCTGTAGCCCTAACACTTGGGGGTAAGAGGGAGGCATGAGGATTACAGGGGCTTGCTGTCTGCCAGCCTAGCTCCAGATTCAGTAAGATAACCGGTTTCAAAGGAATAAGGCAGAGAATGATAGAAAGCATGAACCTCCACACACATGTACACATAACATACACACACAGCACTCTGGAGGCTAAGATAGGACAAACATCTATAAACTCTTCTAAATTTGAGCAAAAACAAGCATTTAGAAATACATATCCTTGGAGGTACTACATGGATAAAGTCAACACCACAGAGCAGGACGTGGTGGTCTACACTTAAAATCCCAGCTGAGAAGGCTGAGGTAGAAAGATTACTGAAAGCTTAAGGTTAACCTGGGCTATATAATGAGATCGTATCTCACAAAACAAAAAATGGGCTAGAGAAATTGCTCAATGGTTAACAGCACTTGTTACTCTACCAGAAGACCTGGGTTCAGTTCCCTGCACCCACATTGTGGCTCACAACCACCCATAACTCTAGTTTGGGGTGTCTAATGTCCTCTAAGACCTCCCTGGGCACCAGGCATGTATACGGTGAACAGAGATGCTGCAGACAAAACATGCATACACGTAAAATAAAAATGAATAAATGTTCTAAAAAAAATTGAGGCTGGAGAGACAGCTAAGTGGTTAAGAGCACTGGCTCCTTTTCCAGAGAACCTACATTCAATTCCCAGCACCCACATGGCAGCTCATAACTGCCTGTAACTCCAGTTCCAGGGGAATCTAACAGACACACATGTAGGCAAAACACTAATCTATGTAAAATAAAAATGAAAAAAAAAAAACCCACACACAAACTAATCTATACTACAAGGAAAATACACTTCTTTTCTCTATATACAAATGTTTCTCTGCCAACAGTAATTTTTTCTTTCCTTCAAAGAATCATCTCACAATATTTAGATTTTTTTTTTTTACTGTGGCAGTGACTGTTTTTGAGACAAGGTCTTTCTATTCAGCCAAAGCTGGTATGAACCTGTACTGGGGTGCAAACTCCCCAAGGGCTGGTATTATAGGGATGGACCAAGACAGCCAGCTCAGGGACATGTTTGACTGTTACCACTACAGTGTTGGGGATGTTACCAGCAATTAGTGGACAGAGGCCAGGGATACTGTGAAGCATCCCACAGAGCACTAGAGAACTGAAAAAGGGCTACCTGCTCCAAAATCTCAGTAGGGTTAAGGGTGGATAGAAGAATAGGTCGGAGAATAGAAAAGTAGTAGAGCCCCAGATTTCCCCACCATGATGGGTTGCACTCTCAAATCGGGAGCCAAATAAACTCTTCCCTCAAGAGGTTTTGGTCAAGTATTTTGTCGCAGCAATGAGAAAAATAATAGACTTTTAAAAACTATCATTTTTGAAAGAATCTTAATAAACCCAACCAGCTGGAGGAACAATCAACTGTCCAGTGAGACAATTGCTTAAAAAAAAAATAGCCTTTAGTCCCAGCACTTGGGAGGCAAAGACAGCAGATCTCAGAGTTCAAGGCCAGCCTGGTCTACATAGTGAGTTCTAGGACAGCCAACACTACATAGTGAGACACTGCCAATACTACATAGTGAGACACTGTCTTGAAAATACCAAAATAAATAATAAAAATAGGGAAGAAAGACAAGGAGGGAATCAAATCCATATAAAACTACTGCTAGATGTTTCTGGATGAGGTAATGGAGACTTGATAGTACAGAAAGATGAATTTATGGTAAAAATAAAAGTCTCACTTGAAAAAAATATTGGGCTTTACTTCTATATCATCAGAAAAAAACAATTCGAAACAACCTGCTAGGCACAAGGCCACATACTCTGTTAAATACCAACACTAAGGAGGCACGATCACAAGTTAGAAGCCAATCCAGCACACAGAGTGATGCACAGAAACAAAGCAAAACAGAAAAAGAAATCTTAACTTACACTGAAGTTTTAAAGCAGTTTCATAACTGTCATGCATGCAAATACTTAAGCCTGAAAGTGAAAAGCCCTAACTGGCTACTAAAGTCATTCATCCCAAACCAAATCCAACCACTACATTCTTTCAAAGACATGCACATGAAGTATTACAGATTCTTCCAAGCTAGTGTTTTAATTTGAAAAGTCAAAAGAACTGTGCATGTGCTATTTCTCTATAATTTGGGTTTTCAAAGTGCTCATACCTCTTCAATACCAGCTATATTGTTCACAGCCAGTTTCTTTAGTGAACTTTGAAGCTTTTTGTCATCAGCAGTAGCTGTCCTATGTACCACCTTCTTCTTCCTGCGAGCTGTCCCCTAGGAAATAATCAGACAGAGGTGTTACTGAACATAACAAGTAGTTACAGCAGCCATATCCTCCTGGCCACAATCTAAAATCCACATTGAAAAAACTAACCAAACAGCAGTGATTAACAAGACCACACAGAGTTGTGATATTTAGCCAACAACTAAAGGGCAGTTGTAGTCAGTTATTACTTCTTTTCAATGTCTAGACTTTATTATTTCAATAGATGATGCTTCAAAATACTGTTTGTTAATAGAACAGAATTTATAACCCTAAGACTATTTAGTATGCCTTATAACAACTTTCAAGCATTGTATACTTTCTTTTTTTTTTTTTTTTGGTTTTTTTTCGAGATAGGGTTTCTCTGTGTAGCCCTGGCTGTCCTGGAACTCACTCTGTAGACCAGGTTGGCCTCAAACTCAGGAATCCGCCTGCCTCTGCCTCCCAAGTGCTAGGATTAAAGGCATGCGCCACCATCGCCCGGCCATTGTATACTTTCATAGAATCCCTGTCAGCCTCTGACAATAAAATCTAAGGATGGTCCAAAATCTCAGGAACTATTACATATTGAGAATTAAATTCCTATTAGTGAGTATTCCAGAGTCTAAAAATCCAAAAACAAAAGCATCAAGATTTTACTTAAGTTCCTATATTATAATAAAAGAAAAATGTCAACAAGTACTTAAAAAATTAGATCATTTCAAACAGGGTAAAGATATGAAACAAACAAACAAAACAAATCAAAACAAAACACAAAACAAATCAGAATGGTAAAAGAGCAAAGCACTGTCTTCCTAGAAATGAGACCCATGATTAGGAAGGAAGGATCCAAGCAGAACCAAATAAGACTTGTCTTCTAGACAGAGAGGGGAGCCCATGGAGCCAGAGCAGAGTGGATAAAGAGGAAGGGAGAAGGAAATGAAACAAGGGCTACACCACATACTGACATGGATTTCACCTGACCTGTTTACTCCCATCTAAGACTGCTACATGAAAATTGGACATGGAGGCTACAATGAGACCAGTCAGGGGGCTGGGGCCCAAGTGTGGTCAGAATGTCACAAGACAAAATAACTTCTGATGGGTGAGATGTGATATATGATGATGAGTCAGGATTTTGGCCTGAAGTTAAGAATTATAACCATTTACTAAGTCAGAAAAAGCTCACTTTTTTATTGATAACTAGAAATAGAGTGGTGTTTTGCTCAGTGGTTAAGAACACTTGTTGCTCTTCGAATCCTAGCCAGTTCAAATCCTAGCACCCATGTCAGGCAACTCACAATTGCCCAGAACTCCAGCTTCAGGGGACCCAATGTCCTCTTCTAGCTTCTGTGTCTTCTAGCAGACACAGAGATACATACACACAAAATATATTTAAAAAAAAAAGAAAGAAATTCATTTTCCATTAAAAACCATTTAAAATAATGGATTAATTTTCTGGGTCAGTTTTTAAAAATGTAACCAACATTAGAGCTGAAATACTACCAAAAGAATTTAAGTTTCTGAAATAAGGAGTGACAGAAAGTGAACAGGGTCTTGAGTCTCTTAATAGCTCCTGCAGAGGTCCTCAGGGACTTACAGAAGGAACTTACAGAAGGAAGCTGAGGTTCTCTCTCAGCAATCCCACTGGGAGAAGAAAGCTCTGGTTGCAAAGGCTCTGATGACATTCAGTTGTAACAGATCACTATTTACATAGATGGTCACTTGCTTGTGAAGCATTCCTAACTCAGGGCTAGCTCAGTTGCTTGTTCTACATTGTTGTTTTGAGACAGCGTCTTGCTATCTAGTGAGGCAGTCTGCAATCCAGAGTGCTGTGATTACAGGGTGTGCCGCCATGCAGAGGTACTCTACTGAAAGGGTCCTCAGGTACTTCAGCTAAATTTCTATAATCCCAGCATGTAAAAATGCAGACAGGCAGGATTGCTTAAAAGTTTGAGGCTAGTCAACATATCAAATTCTTGAGAGACAGGACTTTAGAGATTCTGTCCCCCACCTCAAAAAAAAAAAAAAGTCCAAAATGTCTATAGACTTAATAGTCCACACATCTTCCTTATCTCCTAGATTTTATAGTTGGTAACATCACAGTCCCACACTAATTAAAAGCCTGGGAAACCCTCAATTTTTCTCTATGCCTTTCATCTCCCCACACCCATCTTTAGTTGTAAGCAACAGCTTCTAGACTATTCTCTGTTTGATCCCATTTTTCACACTGCCACCAGTTCTAAAACAGTGAGGCTGGCCTCAAACTCAGAGATCCACCTGACTCTGCCTGCAGATCCCTGGAATTAAAGGCCAGTGCCACCACATCCAGACATTTCCTTCTTAAAATCCTTCAAAAGTTGTCCACTGTGTATGGATAAAATCCCAAGCTCCTTGGAATAGCATATAAAAAGTGGCATATGATGGAGCCCAAACTACCTTGTCACCCCATCCCTACCATTCTCTATCCATTGTATACTATAAACTAGTTATACCAAACTAAAGCTAGCCATTGTTTTCATTGTAAACCTCCATGTTTTCTCAGCACCCTATGTGCAAAGGCACATAGGCAAATGATATCCCCCATGTTAGCCTACCTTTCACTAACCCTTTCATTTGCTGGTCTAGTGATTAGATTCTTATTTATCCCTTAAATCCCAGCATGACTCTCCTAAATGAAATACTTTGTTCTTCATTACAATACTTGCTATTCTTCATTGTACTTGTGAGCGTGGCTCTATTCTATGTTGAGCTACGTCAATGTCAAAAGCAAGAAACTTGTTTATTTACTATGCCTGGTACAAATTAAGTATTCAGTTAACAGTAGATAAATTCATGCATGTACCAGCCACTACATTAAAAATAGATAATTATGGGGCTGAGGATATGACTCAGTTAAGTCAAGTGCTTGTGCCAAATAAGGAACTGAGTATGGGCAACCAACATAAAAAGTAGGGATGGCAGTGTACACCTGTAACCACGCTGGAAGGTGCAGACAGAAGGATTCTAGAAGCTTACTCACCAGCTAGTCTAGCTAAATCAGCAAGCTTCAGGTTCAGTGAGAAACCATCTCAAAAATTAAGGCGAGGCTGGTGAGATGACTCACCAAATTAAAGCCTGTCAACTTTAGTTCAATCCCCAGAACCCACATGGTAGAAGGTGAGAACTGACTCCTGCAAGTTGTGCTCAGATCTCTCTTTCTCTGTGAATATATCATAAATGTATGTATATGTATGTGTGCATCTATATATGCATATATATGCACAAATAAATATAAGGTAGTGAGCAACAGAAGATATATGATGCTTACCTATGGCCCCCACACATGCCATGTGTCCATAAGCATACACACATGTATATACATGTATCAATACACACATACACATACACACACACACTAAAACGAATAAATGTAATTGTGATGGGGGTCATCAGTCCCTTTAAGGTCTTATCTAGTTGTTACAAACCTCTAGTTTTGCATGAGCTACAATGTGACCACTATGGCTATCAGTGTTAATATGAACTGATATCACCATCATCCAACTTTATCAGAGGAAAAGTACTAGTCACTTCTTCCCTTCTCTCTCTATGTCTATGCTCAAGAGCTGTGGTTATGATCAATGTAAAGCATGGTAAAAACCTGTTACATATTGTACTATCTGCTCTTTCTACACATTAATCCATGTATAAAGTAAGTATTGTTCTTTCTTTCTCTTTTTGCAGTGTGCAAAGATGAGGGTACAGTAGTCTCCTTGAGCCTTGGGCCACAAATAAAGGGAAAACAAAAGGTTTGGGTGCTCACAACTTCCTGAGGCTTTAAAGTATGTTGAATATGAAAACTATGTTCATGGTCACCAGCATGAAAGAAAAAGTAGGAATTTGGGAGGAAAAACTGGCAATCTGCAAGATGTATATTCACTTCAAACATTCCCAGTTAAAACTACTTATGCAACTAACCACTTGGTACCTATATTTAATCAAGATAAGGTAACCCTAGTATCTATCATTCCCTAAATGAGAGACATAATTGCTACCATTTATTAACCATTCACATTGTGTCAGATACCATGTTAGGTGTTTATAAACAATGCTCTAATTTTTAGAAGCATCTTATATTATTTGTATTTTGCAGAGGAAAATAATGGAAGTTTACCAAGACTAGGAAACTTATTCATGTCACATAAGCAGATGTTCAAAGTTAGGACTTAGAGGCTGGGAAGTTGGCTCAATTAGAGAAGGACAAGCTTGAGAACCAGTTTGGATCCCCAGAACCCACATAAGAGCCCGGCGGGTGTGGTGGCCCCTGTAATCCCTGCATGTAGGAGATAGAAAACAGGAAACCCTTAGAAGCAGCTGGTGAGAGATTCTGCCTTAATATAACGAGAATGAATGACAAAAACTCCACCCCACATCCACCTTGGACCTCCACATGCACCTGCACTTGCTCAAATGCCTACATACGTCTGTACACACACAGACACACACGCCCACCAAAATAAAAATGGGGAAGATTCAAACAAAAGGGTCTATTTTCATGGCACCATCAGAGAGAAGCATCTTCTAGTTACCTGCTTTAGATCTAGACAAATTCCTATCAAACAGGAATGTGGTCTAATTTTAATCACTGAAAAGATTCTGGACTCAACGACCCCAAGTACATAGAAGTGATACTATCCGCAATCATATGTTCTCCTACTAGTTTGTCTTACACCACACTCACCTTGCCCCCTATCCGGACCTGAGCTTGAAGTTTGGCTAACTTTTCTTGATTCATGCTGTTGGTAAATCTAGGGGGGGAAAATAGATTTGTTAAATTCACTGTTTTATCAAGTTAAAAAATTATTTATATAAACAATATCTTTGCTTCACTGAGTTAATGTAATATCCATTAACATCATGGTCATATCAATACTGTCTCTATTCTTAATATATAGTGGTAACTTGTTCTAGCTTCACAAAACCATTTTTTTAAAAAATGAAATACCACATGGGAGTCAAATATACAAATAGCAAATGAATGGGATTCAAAGTTGCCTACTTAAAGATCCATTCTTAATACATGCATGACTCAGTCCTCTGGCATTCAGAAAAACCTAACCAATTATGAAACCTCTTCAGGCAAGCAGGCTTTTTCTTGCAAAGCTTTCACAGCAGAGAACAGTTACCAAATGTTATTAGCAAAAATCTTCAAGTAGATCATTTTCTCTGGAATCACATTCAGTATTTCTTTTTCTTTTTTGGTTTTTCGAGACAGGGTTTCTCTGTGTAGCCCTGGCTGTCCTGGAACTCACTCTGTAGACCAGGCTGGCCTCGAACTCAGAAATCCGCCTGCCTCTGCCTCCCAAGTGCTGGGTTTAAAGGCGTGCGCCACCACTGCCTGGCTTTTTTTTTTTTTTACATTCTGTATTTCTTATAAAGAATACACACACACAAAAAAAAGGCTAGGCAAAGAATAAATTGAATAATGGGCTGCCAGGCTGTCAACAAACAAGTAAGTCATGTCCTCTATCCAAGGTCAGATGTCAATAGTGGGAACCCATCAGATTTCCAAATATTTGCTGATTCTGAAGCATCCCAGGTCATTCTAGACCTTGTGCTGATAGAGTATGTCACACTTAACAAGATATTATTGCATCTGAGGTAAAATGTCTCACTGTACAAGTTGACAAAGATGTATCTTGGTTACATTAACTTGGTGGGGCAAGACAAAAAAAAGGTATACAAATTTTGACTTTTGAAGATGCTAAGGACATTCTAAAATCATGAATTCTAGTCTGGACAGTGACACTCCTGCTATGGAAAATAACATACCATGCTCTAAAAACAAATAAAAGCTAATAGTCTTGTTTGACTTGTTTTGTGGCTTAACAGATCATTACTGAGATGTGAAGGAAGAAATAAGGGAATAGGCTATTATTAAACTTTTTTTTTTTTTTGCTAGATCTAACCTTGTAATTGCATTATTCAGATGAGAAGGATACTGTTTACATTTGAAAGAAAAAAAGAATCAAAATCATGTAAATTACTAACCATTTTGTACTGACATTGAACTTAAGGAACTGACCTGTATATATCACTGCTGTAAGGCTGAATCCATTTCACAAATAAAAATTAGAACCTATGGTTTCTCAGTTTGTTCAACACTGTATCACAATGGTCAAGCAGGTAAAACTCTTGTATGGGAGTTGTGTGTAGAATCCAAACAGTCTTAGGTGAGTGCCAATCTTAGCTGTGCAGTAGACTTAAATGTGCTGATATAAACCTCAATCTTGCATTCAAAATCCACAAAAGAATATTCATTTTCATCAAAGAACTATAGCCATGAACTTACAGTGAAATAACACATCACTTAAGGAATTTCTTGCAAAAAGGAGGTCAGGAAAGAATATTAAAACTAAGCACAGGACAAGCCCTTTGTGACTAGTCTGCATTTTAGGTAACAATCCTAAAGAAAAGAGATGGCAGTTGGAAAGATAAGAAAAAAAGTCCAGACTTATTTGAAGCAAAAGCAAAACCCAAATTAACTTTCTTATGGTTGGAGATGAAGGAATAATTCCATTTCAGGTCATCAGTATAATAAAGAAATCTTATTCCTAAGGAGTATTTTAGGGAACAGGCATAATTTTAAGGAATCTAGAAGCTTAAAGCAGCATGGGGGGAGAAATATGGCCTTTTGTTCAACAGTAAGTTGGGCTATGTAGGACTCAAATAAGAAAGAAATTTAGACTCAGTCTGAGACCTCAAAGGTCACCTGGTTTAATCCCTACTTGGTATCTTTAATGTACCTGTCACATTCATGTTTTATGTGCGAGGTCATCTCGGGATACCTGTTAGTGCAGCAGGACATAAATTATTATAAACAAAATTGTTAGTTGCCTTCTTAGTTTAACAGAAAATGAAGGCCTGGAACGTTCCTTCCTGTGTCCCTAAGGGAGAAATGACTTCCAAGGGCCACATGATTACTGAGTCGAATATCCAAGAATCCTTTCTGCACTTTTCTCAAGGACTTCCGGAAAGAGTATAAAGAAATGAATCAATATTTATTGAATGCCCAAGTTATAAGCATCCAGGTACTTTCATACACATCATGTTTACACAGAGATAAAAATAATTTGAACTTTCAGCCCTGACTTTTTATGTGATGTTTTACCACTTAGGGCTTTGGAAAAGTATTTAACTTCTTCTTTGTACTTGGGTTTTGTTTCTCCCGCATTAAGAAAAGTATACCATCACATACTTTTCTGGGTTGAAGGCTAAAGCATAGATTATCAAGTTGAGGTAAGATCCTCAGTAGTTGGTAACTATTGTTACCATTCTTCCAGAGGACCACTAATTAGGTATAATGAAAGAACGTGGGCACGGAAGTTGAAACCGCCATTCACCAGCTGTGTAACACTGTGCCTGGCGATCAATCATCAGGCAGGGTGATGAGGTTATAAGGATGGGTAACTGTCTCAAAATCAAGAGACTTGTAAACAAACACTGCCATTACAAAGTGAAGAGAGCTGCAATCTGGTTCGGCCCCAAGAGTTTGGTGGCCGGATGTTAACCTCAGTTTCCCTATCTAAAGATTGGGAGGAGCAAAAGAGATGACAACAGAAATGCTGCTCAAAGCGTCTGACACTGTTGTTGTGAATAATGAGTGATGGGACGAGGAGGGTTCTACCCTCCTGGATCTGGACCTGCGCGGCCAGAGCCCGGGTCCGGTTCCTCCACAGCGGGCCGTGGTGCTGGGGACCTTCCCTCAGGTGCCGACCCCCAGCTGCGCCGCCCGTAACCGACAGGCCCCGCCGGCCGCCTCCGCCCCCACTCGCCGCGCCACGGCGGAAGTGGCAGCCGGAGCGGACGGCGGGTGTCGAGAGGGGAGGGCGGGGGGAGACCGTGCGCAGCGGCCGGAGGCCGTGGGGTGGCGGGCCCGCCGGGGGTCTCACCTGCAGCGGGGAGGGTCCTCCAACACCAGCACGCGGCAAGAGCAAGATGGCTGCCTCAGCTGAGACAGAGAAAGACCGCGGCGGCAGCGGCGGCGGCGGCGGGAGGCCCACGTGACGCACGGCCCCGCCTCGACCGCGGGAGGCGGGATGGGGGTGGGTACGGCAACCGCGCGCCTCCCAACTACAAAGCCCAGCCTGCCTCGCGCACCCCAATATTCTGATTGGCGGCGGGTGAGGGGGCTTGCGCTGCTTCCTGGAGGAGGTGGCGGTCCCCTCAGCGTCCCATTGTGTCCGCGCTTACCTTTTGTCTTGGACTTAACAGAAAGGTGGTGTGGGCTTCAGTTTGGGTGTACACTTTGGATGTCCTTCACTAAGCATTAAGCTCTAATGGACTCTAGTCAGGAAGGAAAGTCGGGAATGTGGACGTGTTAGGTAGTAACTCGACCCACCGCAAAAAGCAACAGACTTAACGGAAAGCTTTACACTTTACCCGTTTGCAGTGACTTTTGTCCTAGTTCCCTCGGACTACCTCGTCAGTTGTGCAATAAAAGGCCCTAAGCACAATTTTCTTGGAGCTTATGTCAGTGGTTGCATCATGCCTGAGTGAAAGACCTGCGGATGCGAGTGGGAAAAAAGGGTCCAGCGCTCCTCAAAGTGCATGCCTGCAAGACACAGACGCGCGCACAGTAAAACGGGCTTACCGGGTGTCTTCAGAATCCCAAACAGAAATCTAACAATGAAATGCTGTTGTCCAGTATTTTAATTTGTGCAAGGGGGCGGGAAATTCCAAGCCCTCTATTGTGATAGGCTGATCTCACAGATAATAATTTGCATTTTGAATATGTAGTGTTAGTGGGCCATTGGAGGGAGGGGCTAGGCTAGAGGTCAGACGTAATTAACAACGGTTTTCCCGAACCTTTCCCCAGCCCCCACCACTTCGGCCGACCTCATCCGGCTGTGTCCCTAGGCCTGGATATCCAGGATTTAGGGAAAGCAAACTCGAGATGTACTCCCCCATCCCTCTACGTGATCTGCACCTTTAAACTTACTCCATTCGAAAGCGGACCCCCGAGGCACCGCCCACATCCGTCTAACATCACTTCCTTCAGTGTTTGGAGAGGAAAAAAAAAAAAAAAAAAATCTGGGAATCCGAGGGGTTGGGCTGAGCGGCGATAAGGGGGCAGAGCGGAGCTTCTGCTGGAAATCCTGTGTTCGCTCAATCCGGTGGCTCTGTGCAACTACCACCGGGGAGATGTCGCTTCGCTTCGGAGCCACCTGTTTGCTGAGCTTCAGTTTTCTGCTCCTCATCACTTCTTCAGACGGACGCACTGGGCTTGGAAAGGGTCAGACCTTGTTATTATCGTAATCTTTTCGGACCCCGGGCCTCCTCCTTGTCTTAACACTTTTCTTCTTTCGCTGAACCTTAGGCCACTTCAGATTCCTTTTTATCCTCCCCAACTGCTTTTGGGCATTTCTTGGGGTCGGGAGTACCAGGTCCCGCAGAGGGTTCTTTTAAGAAGGAAGTTGTACTTGAAGGTGCTCGTAATTCTTGGGTTTGGGAAGATAAGGCCCTTAAATTAGAACTAGGTTGTTTTAAGAGTCCAATTAGGTGTCGTGTTAGGCGCTTGGGACGCCTCCAGGAACCATCACCTTTCCTCCAGAAGAAAAAGGGTCGCTGGTGACCTGTATATTAGTCGCTTGACTCTGAAGGTTTCTCACCACATTTCCCTCTACCCCTCAAGACCCGGTTCCCGATTCCCCCAAGAGATGCAGAAGAGAGAGCCAATTGAAGGCTAGACCTTTTGCTAGATCACCAACAGTTGTTTTTGGTGTGGCTCCGCTAGTGTGGTTATGAATGAAGGTTAGGAAGTATGAACCCCAACTCCGTGTATTACCTACCTCTCTTTTTCTAAACTTGAATATCCTTCTCATCAGTTCTTTTTTTTGGGGGGGGAGGGGTAGCCGAATTGACTAACTGGGTGAGTTGTAAATGGATCCCAACCCTGCTTTGACTATCTTGTGTTCTGACCTACTGTATGGGATTCTACTGCTGCTGCTGGTGTGTGTGTGTTTAAGTGTGGTATGTACCCACGTGGTTTTTGGTGCACAACACACATGACTAGGCCAGAGGAGGATATTGAGTGTTTTCATCTTCTGCTTGTTCTCCACCTTATGAAACAGTCTCATTGAATTTGAGTTCACCATTTAGGCTAGAAGAGTTAGCCAGTAAGCTCATGGGATCCTATCCCTAATTTTCAGGGTTGCATGCATGATTTGCCATGCCAGGCTTTTATATGCTTACTAAAGTTGTTTCACAACTGTTCCGAGACATCTCTAGGTCCAATCATGTTTTTATTTTTTTAAAGATTTTTTTGTGTGTGTATTTGCACGTGTCTGTGGTGTCTGTGTGTCTGTGGTGTGTGTGTGTGTGTAGGTAAATGTGTGGCCCGAGGAGGCCAGAAGAGGGTGTCAGTCCCCCTGGTGCTGGAGTTACAGGCAGTTGTGAGCTGTCTAACATGGGAACTAAACCTGAGTCTACTGAAGGGCAACGGCTCTCTTAACCACTGGCCCATGCTCTTTATTTTCACACTCACTGGTAGGCAAGGAGACTGAGTGGAAATTCCATGGACCTAAATGGAGTCACCTCTGTTCAGTATTGATTTTTGATCATCAACCGTGTTTTGATCATTGACTCGAGTACTAGAGACAAGGTTCTTGCTTTCATTGGGTGTATATTTAAGTCAGAAAGAGAGTGAACAGTAGCATAGATCCGTGACCGATTAATAAAAGGACTTCAGCTTATATAATACTGTGGTAGACTGGGAGGTAAAAAGGCTGAAGACGGAAAGCAGCTGGCATTTACTTGAATTAGGAAGGTCAGAAAAAGCTTTTCTTTCTTTCTTTTTTCTTTTGAGAAAAAGTTTTTCTAAAGTGATGTGTGGGTTTCTGCCTATGAAGGAAGCGCTAAAAACTGCATAGTGGTCCTATTAGGTCAAAATATTCCAAATACTGATGATCTGATTGTGAAACAGGTTGCTGGGTACTTAGAATAGAATTGTATGGGCAGAGGGAGACTAGAATGCTAGAGTGTATTCAGAGCTGAGTTTCAATGTGTTCTGCCGGTGACCAAACCAGATGCCTGTGACAAACAGCTTAATCTCTCACAGCCTCAGTTCCTCAGCTGCAAAATGGGTATGACTGTTACCTCAGACATTCAACACGTAAAGTACCCTGCTCAATTGACTGTGTTGAGTGCATATAACAT